TCTCTCTCTCTCTCTCTCTCTCTCTCTCTCTCTCTCACCACTCTCTCTCTCTCTCTCTCTCTCTCTGTGTCTCTCTCTCTCTCTCTCTCTCTCTCTCAAGCTCTCTTCGCTCTCCTCGCTCTCTCTCTCTCTCTCTCTCTCTCTCTCTCTCTCTCTCTCTCTCTCTCTCTCTCATCACTCTCTCTCTCTCTCTCTCTCTCTGTCTCTCTCTCTCTCTCTCTCTCTCTCTCTCTCTCTCTCTCTCTCTCAAGCTCTCCTCGCTCTCCTCGCTCTCTCGCTCTCTCTCTCTCTCTCTCTCTCAAGCTCTCCTCGCTCTCTCTCTCTCTCTCTCTCTCTCTCTCTCTCTCTCTCTCTCTCTCTCTCTCTCTCTCTCTCCTCTCTCTCTCTCTCTCTCTCTCTCTCTCTCTCTCTCTCTCTCTCTCTCTCTCTCTCTCTCTCTCTCTCTCTCTCTCTCTCTCTCTCAACCACTCTCTCTCTCTACCACTCTCTCTCTCTCTCTCAAGCTCTCTCTAAACTCTCACAAGCACTCTCTCAACTCTCTCTCTCTCTCAACGGTAATTGTCAGATGGAAATGTCAGAAGCATTCGGCATGGTGCGGGGCGCTGGCGGGGCGAAGCGGTCAGCTGTCTCCTGGCTGAGGGTCGTCCTGCTAACTTGCTGCCTGCTCTGGCATGGGGTGACGGTGGGTTTGGTGGAAGGTGATGGTTTTCCCGGTTTGTATACAGATGTGGCGGGCAATTTGTTTATCAACGCGTCGCTGCGTGAAGGCGCACGCGTTTTTCTGGACGGCGTCGACGTCGCGGCGCAACTCGCTCAGCAGCAGCTTCAAGCGGCGCAGCAGAAGAACTTGCTGGAGACGCAAGCCGTTCTACTGGCGACGCAAGCCCGGATGTTGGCTCAGCTGCAGCACCGCATACCAGCCTTCGATGCCCAGCTCGTCGCCGTCGGAGGCCGCAACAGCGTTTCCTTGGATGATGTGTATCGCTTCGATGGCACCAACTGGCACCCGGGCCCCAAGCTTCCGGTGCGGCGCCATGCCCATGGCGCTGCCGTCTTTAGGAAGCAACTGCATATAGTTGGTGGCTTTACGGATATGGATGTTGACCCCTCATCCAGTGTTTACCGTCTCGGGGGAATCGTTTGGACTGAGGGACAGCCCATGCCAACGGCGCGCGGCTACTTGGCCGCCGTTGTTTTCCAGGACCAGCTCTTTGCTCTGGGTGGAACTCGAGGCAGCACGCCACTCTCCCTTGTTGAAATTTATGATGGGACGGCATGGCGTGTGGGTACACCTATGCTTGTGCCTCGAGCCGGTTTTTCGGCGGTCGTCTTTGAAAACAAACTTTTCGCCATTGGCGGGGCACAGGAGCGATCTCGCCTCGCCAACGTGGACGCCTTTGACGGGCTGCAGTGGCGCGCCATGCCGCCCCTAACAACTCCGCGAGGGGCCATGACGGCAGCTGTCTACTCAAATCGCCTTTTCGTGGTCGGTGGCTACTCCGACGCCACGCTCGCCTCGGTCGAGGTTTTCAACGGCTCAGCCTGGAGCACGAGCCACCCCCTTCCTAGGGCATGCCACTCGATGGCTGGCGCTGTGTTTCAAAATCGGTTTTACGTGGTTGGTGGCAAGGACACCACCATCTTCGATGATTCACTCTCCCTTTTCGGTCCAGTATGGCGCACCATGGCGTCCTTGCCGGTAGCATGTGAGCTGCTGACCATCACCGTCTTTTAATCAGCTGAATCACGCCACGGTTGTGGGACATCAAGAGTCACTCGACTGCTTGCCACTTTTGTACAGGGGCCGGGGCCTTCGGGCGCCGTTGGCCAGTACGTTTAACCCTGATTCATGACTAAGATGTGGCGCTGCCCTTTCCAACGAACCTGCTAGATCGGATGTACGAAGTAACAGATCCAAACATAGGCGTATTATTCTTCTTACCCACAAAAATGAGCTTGTGGGGAATCGATTTGAATGAGAGAACGTCCATACACGCAGAGCTCGGCAATTGCCTCTCACGGAAAGACCCAAACAAAATTGGCCAGACCGTCAGAGGCTCGGGTTCACAGGCCAGAGGACTGGCGTTTAAACGAGGAGAACGGGACTACATAATGTGCATCTTCACACACACACAACACATGCACAACCAAAAGGTGTGAGGACGAGAAAGCATAAGGCCGGGTGCATCCAAGAATGGGGGACTTAAAAGTGTCGTCAAGTTTACTCCTTGTCACCGTCGGTGTCCAGGAAGAAGTATGTGCCAGCGCGCTTCTGCTCCACATCCTTGACCGAGTTGGGCTTGTTGATGCGGGGGCGGTAGTTGGTGGGATCGCGACGGAAGGTGACGTCGAGCGACTCCAAGAAGGAGTTCATGCCCGTCAACAGAGGCTGAGGCGCCGACGCCAGCGTCTTGACTGAGGGTGTACCAGAAAAGACGACCACGCGATCGGCCAGATAGGTAGCCATGATAAAATCGTGCTCGACGATAAACGCCGTCTTCTTGGCATGCAGAATGAAGCGCTTGATGGTCTGGCAAGAAGCGGAGGAAAATAAAAAAAAGGAGCCGAAATCGAACGCAGGCACGTAGAGAGTGCGATGGTCGTGAGCAAGTTACAAAGAAGGGGTGTTCAACCTGAATGGCACAAAGCGAATTGGACAGAAGAGCGGGCACATGGCAACGCTTTTGCACAAACCTTGGAGGCAGCGAGACGCTGTTCGGAGTCCAGGTAGGCTGAAGGCTCATCGATCAAATAGATGTCAGCTGGCTTACCCAGGCAAAGGGTCATGGCCACGCGCTGCAATTCACCACCGGACAGATGGAGAACCATCTGGTCCATCAGAGGCTCGATGATCATGGGCTTCATCACATCCGACGTGAACTGTGGTTCAAAGAACGGTAAGGGCCAAAACCAACCGAGTGAGTCTTCGAAAAAGACGGTCGCAGCAAGTTCGTGCAACAGGTATCAAGGATACGTAGCGTGACGAGAGTCAAACCTGAGGATGGATGTAGGCATCGCGAATCCTCATGTGCAACAACTGACGAACGGTGCCATCAAACTTGGGCGCAATCTTCTGGGGCTTGTAGCTGACACGCAGTTCGGGCACATCCTCATCGCCATCGGGCTTGAGCAGACCAGCGAGCCTGCGTCAGAAGATGCAGCAGTGAGAATCCGATGGCACGTTCACAGGCCAAACACAGAAGGGAGTCCCACAGCGCAAAGGGAAATGACGCACATGCGGATGAAGGTGGATTTGCCGGTACCGTTTTCGCCGAGCATGACAATGAGCTCTGAGTCGCTAAACTCGCCGCCCTCAATGCTCAAGCTAAAGTCGCCCAGCGTCTTGGTCATGTCAGGATAGCTGTAGGTGTGCATGCGCTTGACTTCCTCCTGGTCCAGGTTGTCAGAGACCTTGAAGTTGAGTGACTCGGTACGGAAACGCATGTTCTCCGTGGGCACAAAGCCCGCAAGGAAGATGTTGATGCCTGGGTTTCAAACAATCAAAATAAAAAGACAAGACGAGTTGTTGGGACATTTTTAGGTGAGAAATACACGTATGCATCTGGCAGAACAAGCGCGTGAGCTTCCGTTGGTCGTGGGGCGTACCTTCGCGAACGGAAAAGGGCATAGTAACAACACCGTAGGCGCCGGGCTGGCCATACAGGCAGCACACAAAGTCGGACATGTAATCCAACACGCTGAGATCGTGCTCAACAACCAGAATGTAGCTGTGTGCGGCAAGCATCATGCTCAACATGAGCTTTTGTGTCGACGGCAAGCAAGATGGGTTTGGCGGGCAGCACTAGGCAGAGACGGTCGCTAGCGCTTACTTCTTCTCGCCGCGCAGGTTGCGAATGGTCTTGGCAGCCTTCAAGCGCTGCTTGATGTCCAGGTAGGAGGAGGGCTCGTCAAACATGAGCATTTCAGCGCTCTGGACGCAAGTGACGGCAATGGCAAAGCGCTGCAGCTCGCCACCTGACAGATCCTTGACCTCACGATCCAGCACGTTGCGCAGGTCCAGCATGTCAAGCACCTCCTACGAACATTAGCAGGTTGAGAATGAACAGGAGCAGGGTGTGAGAACTTGACCAGGGTAGCAGCTCAAGGGTCGACACGATCTGTGTTGGAGAGGAGCTGACAATGATAGACGTGGTGGCAGCGACAGGCAGACAGAGCGTGGGAACCTAGGCACGAACCTCGTAGTTGTCGCGCTCGAGCTTCCTCTTCAGGATGCCCTCAACAGTGCCCTTGACGGCGCGGGGAATCTGATCGACGTACTGGGGCTTGATGATGGCGCGCATCTTGTCCTCGAGCATGCGGGTAAAGTAGTTTTGCAACTCGGAGCCACGGAAATACTAGCGTGCGGAAAGTTCATGGGCAAACGCATGAGTTCCAGCTACGTCGGGCTTGGAGCGTGATGTGACGGTCTCCGGGCCAAACCTTGAGAATCTCCTCCCATTCGGGGGCGTTGGCATCAAAGCGACCCAAGTTGGGTTTCTAAGATGTACAGCACAGAATGTAAGGAAAATGAGGGTGGAGGCCTGTGAGATACCTGCTCATTGCCTGGCCAAAGGTACGCCAATTTGGTTCGGTGCGTCTCAGACAAACGAGCCCACCTCACGGCCAGCCAGGATCTTGAGCGCAGTGCTCTTGCCGATACCGTTGGTTCCGACCAGACTGTTGGTGTGACGAGGTGATGTGAGCCAAGCAGCAGAGACAAGCGACAATGGCTGCAACGGGCGTGCTGCACCATCGAGAAGAGCAAGCAGGTCGTACGCACCCAAGAACCTCTCCGGGGCGAGGGGTGGGAAGTCGGTGAAGCTTGAAGGCGTTGGGGCCATAGCGATGGGTGGTCTCAGAGGACAGGTTGCTGGGCAGGTTGATGATGGAAATGGCCTCAAAGGGGCACTTCTTTACACAGATACCACAACCAATGCAAAGAATCTCCGAGATGAAAGCCACCTGGATGCACAGAAGAGAAGCAATGAATACTCATGCATAGAACGTGTCAAGTAGATCATAGGGTCCACCGTGTGCTAATTGGCCTTGCGGCTCTGCCCAACAGCGTTCTGGTAGACGAGAAGGAGAGGACATGCCTTGTCGGCGGGGGTCACTTCAATGCACTGCTTGCCCATTCGCACGACGGGGCAGCCCTTGCGACATTCCTGACGGCATTTCTTTGGCTTGCACTTGTCGTGGTTGACAATGGCGATACGGGTCAAAGTATCGGACCTGTCACGAGCACAACGAGACGAGCAGGACCATCAACAGCATGAGACTCAAGCCACCAGCCCTGGCACCCGAGCACAGATTCGCGCAAAATGGCGCAAGCCAGCACAACGCACATGGCGACGGTCAAAGAAAATGGGTGCGCTCCGCCCTATACACCACCAAGACGGTCCGAGACAGGAAGAGCACAGAAACACGGGCACGTGAGTAAGTCGGGGTGGCGCGGGCAACAAGATTATGCAACTGGTGCCGCTTGCTTGTTTCACAGTCGTGCAAGCCAAGAGGTGCTCAAGCGCCACCGCTCAACATCAAACACAGATTCCCAAAGCCCTCCCAAACGGTGGCCGCACAGGTGCGGCCCCCACGCAAAGGCCATCATGCCCTGCGCGCAACGACCCTGCCTTTTCTTCCGAGAGTCACACTCGGCTCCACCCCTGACACTGATGAGGCCAACCTCGAAAGGCTGGTCAAAAACAACCGAGCACCTCCTTTCCCCACAAAGCCGCACCACATCAGCCCATACATGCCGTTCCTGACCGGCACGAGGACACCATCCCGTCCCCCTCTCGTCGCATGCGCCCGGTCAGTGCTCACGCCGCCATTTCCTCTTCACACACACACACACACACACACACACACACACACACACACACACTCTCGCTCGCTCTCTCTCTCTTCAAACACACCCACGCGCATTGGTCCGTCCGTGTGTCGGTAGATACCTGTTCACAACACCCGTTGTAATGGTAAAGTGAAACATGCCTCTTGGATTTTGTATTCGTTCTCCAGGTTAAAGACAAGGCAAGATCTTGTTATTCTGTTTGTTTGAAGGAAGGAAGTTCTGTTGAGTCGGACGGACTGGCACGCGTGAGGCATGGCGGAAGATGCCAGGCCATTGAACCAATAAGTGAAATAAAAAGTCAATCAATTTATCTTGCCTCGTTTGATATGCGCAGAGGCAAACGTCCAACTCCACTCGCGACACGAACAAAACACATCAATCTTTCTCAACACACACGCACACACACACACACACACACACACACACACACACACACACACACAATCCATAGGAAGGGGTCAGCCTAGTTGACCGTCGAGAGCCCGCGGGTGGGAATGCCCGAAACAGGCGACTGCTTGGCCTTTTTCGGGGTTTGTTGCCCCTCATTCTCCTTGCCCATCATCACCGAGGGCTCCGCTGCCGGTTCAGCTTGATTCTCCATGCCCATGGCAACATCGCTGGCCTCCCCATCGACGACCGAGGTCTCGGCGGATACTTCCTCCGGCTCTTGCTCAGTTTCCTGCTCCGTGTCCTCCTCGGCGGCCATGCGCTCAGCCAACGTTGTTTCGAATCGTTGAAGAAGCACCTCGCGCGGGTCGGTGCGTTTCAAATCGTCCACAACGGGAAACTTGTATGTTGTGCGCGCTGGGGTGGCACCCGTGGGCACATCGGCCTGCAGCTCCTCGGCGGCAAAGCGCGTGACCCGAGCATCCACGGCCTCCATGCCCTGATAGGCCTCGGCACAAGCAGATTTTGTTTCCGCCGTAGCGGTAGCCAGTAGAGATTGCGTGGCCGACACGCTCTGTTGCTGCGCTGCGAGATGGCCTGCGGCAGCGGTAGAAACCTGGTCCAGAGCCTCCGTTGTGGCGCTGCCGGTAGCTGCCTGAGCCACCAGCGCACGCCCAATGCCCTCGGCCACGACAGTACGCTGCTCAATCAAGAACTGGACGTGGGCATCCGCAAAGGCATCGGCGGCATTCATGGGGGCCTCCCCAGCTTGCTGCACCGCGCCGACGGCAGACGTGGCGGCAGCCGTCGCTTCCTCGGTGTGGCTTGCAACACGCGTGAGCCCAGCTTCAAGCTGAGCCTCGGTGTTGGCTTGACCGGCGGCAAGCGCCTGCCCGTGACCCTCCACAGCGGTTTGACCCTGAGCAATGGCATGCTGGAAGTGTTGCTCCATGCCTGCGCTGGTGTCATTGAAGGTGGCCAAGCGAGCGTCAAAGGAGGCAGCTTGCTCGCGTTGGGCCGTCATGGCACCCGTGGCCCACTCCTCAATCATGGCCGCCATGCGGGCCTTGAGATCGGCAGCATTAGCGGAGATGCGCGCCTCCACATCGGCCGATTGCTGCTGGAGGTCTTGTCGCACGCCAGCGACCTGCGCGCGTTGTCCAGCAAAGAGCTCGGTGCATTCGCTCTGCAGCGCACTGAGGCTGCTCGTAATTTCTTGCACCATCCCCGTGACCATGGCGCGGGCCTCTGCCTGCTGCTGCTGCATGCTGGCGCGTAGATCGGCCAGCACTTGGGCTTGTGCATCTTGTGCGGCAGAAAAGGCCGTTTGCTGCTCGCTAAGCGCAGCCAGGAAGAGGGCACGCTGCTCGCTGAGACGCGTAGAGAACGCGGCACTATCGGCATTGCCCTGCTCAATCTGCGCCTCAACGACACTCTGAAGGGACTGCAGACCAGAAGCTTCCACCTCGCGGCTCTGCGCCAGGCGAGCTGTGGTAGCTGCCACAGATGCGGTAAGATCGGTCTGGTATGTGCGGGCGCGGTTCAAGAGGTGGTCGACTTCGGCCTGTGTAGCAGCAAGTTGTTGGCCCATTTGACGCTCAAAGGCCTGCAGGCGCTCGACCTGCGCGGCCACCTGTTGTGCCACATCACCCTGCAAGCGCTGTGTGGAGCTATGGTTGGCAGCCTCGACCTTGGCCTTGCGATGCACCTTGTCGTGAAGCGCAGACACGTGGTCGGTCGTGGTCTCGACCACTTGAACCAGGCTCGACGCCTGGCGATGGAGATGGGCTTCAGTCTCAGCATGGGACTCGGCAATAAAGGCCGTTTGGTCCCGCTCCAGGCGAGTGGCTTCGAGCTGTCGGCTGGTCTCATCCAGCTCGTTGGAAGCTTGGGTGAGAGCCTCAGCCGTTTCCTCAAGCTCGCTGCGCGTGGCCTCGAGATTGGCCGAGGTTTCCGTGAAGAGCGTTTGGATGGTGTCAAACTCTTTGCGCATCGTGTCGAGTTGAACGGTCATTTCCTCGATCTGAGTCTTTTGCGTTTCGAGCGACTCGGTCATATGGCGATAGTTGTCCGAGTTGACGTACACGCCGTTTTGTTCGCGCGTGGCCATCAGGTCGCGCTTGAGACGCTCAATCTCCTCGCTGTAGTCCTTGATGAGGGCCTTTTTGGTGAGCTTTTGGTTGATTTCGGGTCGGTTTTTAATGTTCTTGGCGTGGAAGGCGTAGTCAAGGGTGCTCATGGTTTCCTCCATGTTGCACATGGCGGGCGAAACGGTGGCAATGATGGATGTCTTGGTCTTACCACCCAGCGAATCCTGTAGCAGGCGGGTCAGCTTGGACTCGCGGTAGGGGATGTGGCCCTCATGCTGGACAAGCTTCTGGATAACCCGGCCCAGGGTCAGAAGACTTTGGTTGATGTTACCGGCTTCACGGGCACGGTCCTTGACGGCTCCAGAGCGACCAATGTTCTCCGAGCCCGCCAGATCGACAAGATAGAGTTTACCAGTCTTGACCAACTCCTCGCCCGCAATGTTGTTCTCCTTCTGATGAACAGTCACCATGAAAACGCTGTGGCTACGCGAACTGGTCTTGTTCATCAGCGTGGCCGAAGTCTTGCGCTTCTCTGAACCCTTCTCAAGCAGACGATACACCTAAAGGCAGGCGCGATGGGGCGAGGCGAGACAAAGAGTGATGAGAGGCGGCGGGGGTCGGAAAAGGGTTCAGCGGGCCTCTGAAAACATCATGCTGGCATTTCCTTGTGCCTTTCCCCTTGCCTTTTGGAGAACACCGAAACCCAGGGGAAACGTACCTCGTCGCGGTTGTTGATGGGCACATCTTCAAGATTTTGAATGACGACGGAACCCTTGTTTCGCGCATCCTCGAACAAACGCAGCTTGTTGTTGTCATCCTGCACGGGTTGCATTCAGATCTGAGATGAGACGGAATCCCACCCAGAGCCTTCACCGCACACGTCAGCACCAGGCCACGGACCAGCGGGGAAAGGAGATCAAAGATGTCCTCGTTGTAGATCTCCAGGAAGCTGGCGCGGACCGAGTACTCGGCATCGCCGGCTTGCAGCTTTTCAAACAGCTATAGCGGCAGCATCAGGAACGGATGGGTGAGAAGATGTCTGAACAATGGCGGCATGTGGCCGTACAGGACAGCAAGCGAAGCAGCCGCATACGTGGCTCATGGCGCGAGGGATGAGGCCGGCGCCGGGATCGTCAAGGTAAGTGGCGTAGGCTTGCTCGGTGTTGCGGTAGCCCTCCATGGTATGGGTCTTGCCGGTACCAGTCTGACCATAGGCGAAGATGGTGCCGTTGTAGCCCTCCAGAACCTCATCAAGCAGAGGCTCGGCCACGTCCTTGTAAACGTCAACCTGCCAGAGAGAGGGTGTCGTCGTCATGGACGTAAGGAAGGGGGGCGGGACACCACTGGCACCACTGGGGTCGAGCAAGCATGTTGCAGAGGCAAGAGGTCGAGCGTGTCGCAGGACAATAAACTATACCTGAGTCGACTCCATGCCAAAGACCTTGTCAAAGTGGTATGTCTTGGTATCGATCTTGCCGCCAGCCTTGATCATGGTCATGACGGCATGATCTTCGGGCTTGACCTCGACCGAGACGGGCGAGTTCTCATCCGTCTCCTTCTTGTTCAAGGGTCGGCATCGCACGTAAACCTGCGTCGGAGGGCACGGCAGAAAGGAGAAGTTGGGCATGAGCCTCGGACGACCGGGTCGCCAGCTGAAATGTCTGGGGCAACCATCACGACTCGGACCTGGATGTTGCACTCCTTGCCCTTCTTGCCGCCAGCCATGTTGCCAGGTGAGGATCGAACCCGGGGAATCGCCGACCAAGGGATTTGTTGAAGGTGTGGGAAAGAAGTGGGTTGACTGCCACAAAACCGAGCCACCCACAGATCAATCAAGTTCAGAAAGAGGAGAAGCACCCTGCTCGAACGACAGGAGCAGCAGCGAGTAGAAGGAGTAAAAAATAAAAAATAAAAAACACTCGGCTCTCTGTGTGTGTGTGCGTTTCAGCGCCAAAAGAGAGAAAAATTCAAAGCTGACAAATAAGAAAACGCAACAAATTCAAACGAGGGCGGGAAGTGTTGTAAGACTTACATTTGGTTATTGAGCCAAGCAGCTAAAAATAGCCGATAACTCGCTCCTTTCTCGCGTGAAGCGATCTGGCTTGACCAAGCCTGATCTGGCGTCATTCCGCCTGAC